CACTCGGCCGGCCCACCCCCTAATTTTTAACCCCTTGTTTTTAATGCACAAATATTCCCATTTTAATGAAGATAACTAGACTTAAAGCAATTACTACAAGGTTTCTGCTATATATGTCTCCAAAATAACCCCATGTGACAGCATAGGTTCAAACTGGATACACTAGATTGCTGCCTCCTTGGGTTTGAGAAAGCAACTCATGTGAGTAGCCATGGAGACTAGAAAGGGAAGAAGTGTGTTGAAACAAACCACTGGGGTTCAGAGACGCCTGGCCTTGTCCCTGTAGCCTTGAGCTTCACCTTGTCTTCTAGGGAGCTCAGATGACAATATTTAGCCAATATTTCTTGGCTGGCCCCAATGGACTCCTGTATGTTACCTCCATTGTCTCTAATCTTCACTACAACCCTGTAAAGGAGGAATCATTCTGTAGTTGGGTAAAATGAGACTCAGATTTTTGGCAACTTATCCAGAGTCACAGAGCTCTAGTTAGTGAAGGGGCTGGGATATGACTTGGGGTCTGTCCTTTCTTCATTTACTGTTCTATGTTCCACCAACACATGAATCTTTGTAAAATACTGCATTTCCCAAGATGGTTCATTGCATAAGAACCCCCATTGAATTCTTATTGTTAAAACTAAATTAGTTGTAGAGAAGACTGGGTTTCTAGAGCCTCATTCATTTATGTATTTTCTTTAAAAAGTTCATACTCATTAAACATTTGGGGAGCAGGGGGATTTGGAAAGTGAAAGAAGATAAAATAATCCTTGAAAGTTCTGATGAAGATAGCCATGATTAACATTTTATTTTTTCTTGTCCATGTTCTTCATATAATTTTTTAAATAATTGTACTTATTTTCTTATAACATTTTGTATTCTGATTTTTTATTTAATGCAAATATCATAAGCATTTTTAATATTACTATATAATCTTTTAAAAGTTATTGTGGTAAGGCCAGCCAAGTGGCTCAGTTGGTTAAAAGCGCAAGCTCTGAGCAGTAGGGTCACTGGTTCGATTCCCACATGGGCCAGTGAGCTGCACCTGAGCTGAGCTGCCACTGAGCTGCCAACAGGTGGCAGGATGGCCCAGCTGGTGAGAGCACGTACTCCTAACAACAAGGTTGCCAATTCGACTCCCACTTGGGATGGTGGGCCATACCCACCCACAACTAAGATTCAACATGGCACCTTGAGCTGAGCAGCTGAGAGCTGCCGATGGGCGGCCGGATGGCCACTGGACTTGAAGCTGAGCTAGCTGTGCCCTCCACAACTAAGACTGAAGGACAACAACTTGGCTGGTCCCCTTCCCCAATTCCCCAACACTGTTCCCCTTCCCCAATTCCCCCAATAAAATCTTTAAAAAAAAAGTTATTGTGGTAAATATATATATATACATATACTTTTAAACATGATTTTAATGGCTGTCCCATAGATCATTTAACCATTCCATTACAATTGAATATTTAGGATGCTTCCAACTTTCCACTCTTTTAAATAAGGTTATAATAACATCCTTTGACATAAAGGTTTTTACCCCCCTGATTTTAATATTATTTCCCAGAAATGGAATTAATCAAGTGTTTAATTTCCATGGCCATTTGTGTCCATATGGCTGCCTGGAACACTCCCTCTATCCAAATCCTGCCGTGTTTCACAACCCATTTCAGACTATATCTCACCGATGAAGATTTCCCAACTATTGTAACCTATGCTTGTTTCTACCGTTGCTGACCATGGGTACCCAATATTGTAACTCCTGCCTTGCCAATGGTGTCACCTCCTTAAAGGCATGTCCCAGGTCATATACGTGATTTGTATTCTCTGTAATGCTTCAGATGGTTAATAAATAATTGTTGATTAAAAGAATTGACTTCACCTTTTTGCTTCTCCTTAAAGGAAACTCCAGTTACAAGGTGGCATCACTTCTATCACGCTTCGCAGGGAAGGACACCAGTTTTTTGTAGGAACAGAAGAATCACACATTTATTGTGTCAACTTCACAGATTTCAAAGAGACTCTCATTGCCACTTGTCACTTTGAAGCTGTCCAGGACATTGTCTTTCCATTGTAAGTAGAAGAGGAAAATATTCTCACCCCTAAAAACAATAAGAACATGGAGATTTGATGTAGTGTGCAAGGAAATTTAATTTTATTGATATGTTTTCAATATCTATTAGCATAATAGGTCATAATAAATAATAATAGGTTATGACTTTTTTCTCCATAAATTTTTCTAGTAGTGAATTATTTTAATAGAATTTCTATTGCCTTCATCATACAGCTACATTAGTTTTTATAATTCAAATTTGGGCTTTTTTAGAGTGTTAGCTTTTCCATTAAATCCATCATGGAAAGAATAAATAGACTGGCAACACTTTTCTACATTTTGCCAACACTGTTTGGAAAAAGCTTAGTAGTGCCTTTCTTCAAACTTTCAAGTCATTTGTTTTGTACCTCTTCGGTCTTCCAGATTTGGCAGACTGAATGGTGGTGGGCATAAGAGGTCTTCTGGATCTAGTTGCTGTAGTTCTTGGTAAAACCCACACAAAACAAGTCAAACAAATAACCATCAGCAGTTTGATATCAAAAAGAGCTTCAGTTGTAGTTGGCCATTATTTGATTTTGTAACACATTTAGTCTTTGATGAGATTCATTCCTTGAAGTTGGTCAGATAGTTTTTGCTCTGAATTTCTTCAGTATTTAGCTTGGATTTACAAAACTCAGTTTGAAAGTCAACTCTTAACATCATAAAATGTAGGGTTGGTTCCTGGAGGCATCGTGATTAGGTTTCCCCAAACATTTGTAATAGTGAAAATGGCTGGTGCTTCCCGTCAGGTGAATCTTTTTTGAAAATTGGTTGGTCATTTTCTGTGTCACTTTTTTCCCTCTTTTTCTAAGGAGCTCGTTTTTCTAAGGAGCTTTCTGTAAAATTATCTGGTCTGGGTGCCTTTTACAAGAGATTTTTAACTGCCTTTTGAAATTATTATATGGTTGTTGACATATTCAGGTTTTGTTTTTGTTTTTAAATATTTTATTGGGAAGTTGGGGGAGGGAACGACATTGGGGAATTGGGGAAGGGGAACAGAAAAGTTGCTGTCCTTTTGTTCTTCAGTCTAGTTGTGGAGGACGTCACTTCACTGGCCCATGTTGGTATTATCATTGCTCTCTTCCCCGGGTGAGGCAGTCGCTCACTGGCCTTTGGACGGCTGCTCACGGCTCTCGCTTGCTGCCGGCCACTCACGGTAGCTCCCGGCAGCCCAGCTCCAGGTCGAGCTGTTGTTCATTATCTTAGCTCTAGAGGGCGCAGCATCATTGGCCCTCATATGGTATCCTAACCGGGTCCCTGCTGCTCAGAGCTGGAGCTCCCAAGCCAACTCTCAATGCACCACTCGGCCGGCCTGACCTATTCAGGTTTTGTAACTCTTCTTTTTCTTTCCTCAGACTTGAGCAATAGTTTGGCTAAGCATGAAAGGAATTTTAATTATCTTTGTATTGAAATATAATATACATACATAAAGTACATAAATCATAAGTAACTGCTTCAGGGAAATACCACACCTACATGATTACCACCCTAGTCAAGCTGTAGAACATTTCCATTACCCCAAAATACCCCTCCCAATTACTACCCTCACCCTCTTCCTTAAAATATAGTCACTACCTGTACTGCTAGCTCCATAGATTAATTTTATCGGCTTTTGAACTTTGTAGAAATAGAATAATTCAATATGTACTTTGTAGGTTATTTTTTTTCTGTGGATGCTTTTAATGTTGTTAATGTCATACAGATCTTCTTATCTTTAGTAATTTTTTGTCTACTTGTTTCAGTTACTGAGAGAAGTGTGTTAAAGTCTCAAGCAATGAATACAGATGTGTCCCTTAATTTTTGTCAGTTTGCTGCATATATTTTTGAAGCTGTGTTTTTATATATATATATATATATATATATATATANAAAGTTCAGGTCATCTAACTTTTTCACTCAGCCTTTTCAGCACTTCCAAATAGTAAACTTGGTTAACTGTTTGTCCAGTTGGTACAAATTTATAATGAATAATCCCTCCAATACCAAAAAAATGTTAGCAACATCGTTGCAAACAAGCTCACGAACTTGTCAGACTTCGTATAGTCACTAAATAAGGAGTCTTTTGTGCTTTCCTTGGATGTCAAATCTGGTCTCTCTGCGTTGTAAGAATTAAGTGTAAAGCAATTGAGGAACTAATGGTGCTGTGGCTGTGCTTATGTCATCTGCTTTACCTTCATTGGCGTGGATATAAAGTGTTAATTTTTAATATATTCAAAACGCTCAGGTGTTTTCAAAGGTAGTAAGCCTGGTGAAGCATGTTTGCTCCTGGCAGGACCAGGAGGGCTACTTCCAGCACAGGATCTCATTGCTGGCACTGAGCCCTCTGGCCAGCCCCGGAGTGCATCACAGGCAATACATTCACGAGCTTCATCCAAACCACGTGTGGCAACATTGACATGTCCTTAGCCATGACCATTGTGTCTGATCAGGCACTGATTCTTATTGATGAAACCAATGGACCTTTTTCTTTTTTTTCTTTTCTTTTTCCCCAAACTTTTTTCTTAATGCTTTTTCTCCCCCATAGGGAGTGTCAGCTATCAAGTGCCTGAAGACGGAGGGGTTGTTAGTGGGCTCTGGAGCTGGACTGCTGATCTTCTGTAAAAGCCCCAGCTACAAGCCCCTCAAGTAAGTTCCAGGCCCCACAGGGTTGGATTGGGGAGACACCCACCAGAGAGAGATGTGCTTAAATCTGGCTACTAAGTGAAATTGGCAAAGTGAGAAGTGGGAATCATACTAGATGGTGATTTCTTTGCCAATGAAAAGACAATGGCTTATGTTAAATCAAACCAAAGTAGTCCACTATTGCCCAGGGGAATACTGCCCTTCTATTAAATACATATGTTTTTATTTAGCTAATATATTGAGCTATGACAGAGGGAATATGCTGTTACAAGCTTATCCAACAAATAATCTCAAATTTCAAACTTTCAATATTGATTTATTCAATGAAAGCTATTATGCAATGGGTACCTATTATGTTCCAGGCACTATGCTAGTAGTTAATGCATTTGAACACAAGTTTTAATACAAATAGCAAACATTCCCAACTATTTCTGTGTACCAGACACTATGCTATGTCCTTTTTACAGTGTATCTAATTAAAGTAAAACTTTGTACATCATCATTAACATGTACCTGTTGAGCACCTCCTCCATCCAAACCAATGTGCTAGATGCTAGCTGTTAAAAAATAAGATACCGTCTTTGCTTTCCCAGAAGTTACAGACTGCTTTGGGGATAAGGTATATATATTCATATATGAAAAAGTCACTGCAAAATAAGATGATATATAAGCACCTCATGGTCCAGATAAAATAAAATATATCATGGATTTTGTAAAGACGATCAGAGAAGGGAGTGATCTTGTTGGGATGGCAAGGTCAGGGATGACACTTCACAGAGGAGCAGAAGCAGAACTTGAACTTAGCTTCAACAAAAGCCAGATCGCCCGGGACATGCTCCATATGGCTTCTGGTAGCTCTGAGGGAGCCAGGGATAGTTGCATATGCATTGTAGAAATAAGCATCAGCTGTCCTCATTCAAACAAATCTGTACTGAGAATAGGTACCAGACACTATTATAGGTGCTTGGGACATGTCAATGAACAAAGTAAACAAAAAAAGAAGAAAAAGATTCCTGCCCTCACAGAGCTTACATTCTAGCAGTAAGGAAAAGACAATAAGCATGTCAAGTACACAGTGTTAAAGGGTCGTGAGAACAATGAAGATCAATGGAGTAGGATGTAGAGTAGGTGTATTAGGGTTTAAAGAGGGGTAGGGACATGTTGCAATTTTCAATTCAGTGCTCAGGATAGGTCTTGTTGAGAATATATTTGGACCAGTTATGTGTTTTTATGAAGAGAAATAGGGAGGGAGGCAACTTAAGAACAGTATTGGATAGATTCTGGGTACATAAAGTGATAATAGAAAATTAACCCCTAATTTTTTTTTTAAGATTTTTTTTTTTATTGGGGAATTGGTGGGATGGGAACAATGCTGGGGAATTGGGGGAAGGGGAACAGACAAGTTGCTGTCGTTTTGTTCTTCCAGTCTAGTTGTGGAGGATGTTGTTTCACTGGCCCAAGTTGGCACCATCATTGC